TATTACTCATCAAAATTCTTGGTATTTTTAATTGAATGATTAAAAACAAACCCTGGTGTGAATTCCAATTACGTTATAAGTACTGAAATATTATTTATACTATGGGAATCTTCTGGGCCTCATCCTTCCAGCATTTTTAAAGTTGTGATTATAACCAACTTCATTGAATGTGAGAAATCCCTAATTACAGAATTTGAATATAGGACGAAAAAGACATTGTATTTTATGTCAAAACTTTAATTTAAATTCTTTTTGGCGGTGGACTATAATACATATAACATACTATTTCATCGAACTAAAAAAAAGATAAGTTTAATTAAATTAAAATCAGATAAGATTAGTTTACGCTAAGGGCAAACTTATAACTAAATGGTGCTTTTAATTATTTTAGAAATTTTGAACTGTGGCTTTTAATAAGATTTGCCCTGAAACGTTAACAAGCAAATGAATCAACATACTGTAAGACCATGTTTTTCTGCTAAAACATAAAAAAAAAATTAATTTTTGAAATAAAAACATCCATAACGACCATAATGTTCCATTTGTTTTCGATTAGACCCGATCCACGTACCTATCTTTCGACAATAAACTTCAGAACCATCCTAATCCTCTCGTTTCTAACCTTGCTTCCTATTCAATCCTTGATAATCACCGAGGTGTCTGAAAAGAAGATGGCCTCGTGATCTCCTAATGTAGATACTTAATTAGAATGCTACCAACGGGTAGATTCTCTACAATTCTTCTCTTACTATTGTATTTATCTGCACGCATTTACTAGATGTATATTTAATTTATACAGTTGTAAATTTCATGAATAATTAAAAAAAAAAATTAAATTGAAGCTTCTGAAGTGAATTAGATTGGCCCGTCACATATCCGGTGTGTAACACTCGAGTAAAGTCGGCTGGAGTCGACTAATTCAAATGTTTTTTCATATGGATGGTGATCCAGTGTGGTGGCTGGTGATAATACAAGGCTGGTGAAATAGAATAAATAATTTATCTACCATCAGCTGGACTCAAATCGGGGACCTTTGGGCATTGGTTGTCATCGCCCGACCACTTAGGTATCCAATTCCCCAATCTTTTTTATTGTAAATATATAATTCTATATAACATAAAGATGGGATGAAATATGCTAAGTTAAGAACTAATAGTTAAAATCAATTAATAAATTTGGGGACCCATTTTTTATCACCAAAGACATAAACAAATAAAAATTTCTTTTTTGATGTTAAAACATTAATTTCATTGTCGTCACATATATTCGTTACGTTTCGGCCTTTTTGGCTATTTTCAAACATTCTTTATCTATTTTGTAACCACCTGTATAAATTTTATAAAATTTGTTGTCAATATCTTTTCTTTTAGATAAAGTTAATATATTTTCTTTTTAATTTTATATGTATTTGTTCATAACCATTTCAAAACTTGATCTTCACTATTTTCAAAATGTTTATTATAAATCTCATCTATTATTCATATCTCATCACCTACTGGATTGAAAATGAAAACCGCCATTTGAAGTTTACGTATGTATGTCTTTTTGGCTGTCCATGGGCTAATGGGCTTAAGTAAGTACAGGTATTTAATTTCTGTCTTCAAGTTTTAATTCCGAGCGTCTTGAAAGCAATGAATATCATAGTATCTTAGGTTTAGATTTTATGTTTTGTTATTGATATGTTTTCCCAACACCATTCTTCTATCAAATGTAACTCCAGGATATTGTACTTTATCTGTCTGTAGAATTTCGACATTGTCTAAGTAAATAGGAGGGCAAGTTTCAATCTTTTGATGATTTGTCTTCGTCGAGTAGGATTTTCTAGAGTTTGTACCAATCACGAAATTTTATTAGGTGATATTGTAGAGTCTGTGTAGTCTGTAGTGGACCTTGACATCTTGTTAAGATTCTTGTTTATAGTTTCAAGATATTCGTTTATAGTTTCAAAACTGTATGAAATATCATGTGTATGAACTTTTTTTTTTTTTGGTTTCCGGAGTACTATATGTTTGCTTAAGTAAGTCAGTTTATATGAATAAAGATATATATGAGTAAGGAACTCTATTCCATGAATTCAGATTGTTTTTAATGTGTGATTTTTGTAGTTTGAGTTATAAAATTAATTATTTTATCTTTAATGACCTATCATTTAATTGAGCAAAAAAGCTTTTCTAAAATTAAAATACTCTTTTTTATATTAAGTAGAAATAAGTTTTTTAAAAAAATTAATCCTCTTGCATACACTTTTGTCCCGCTTGATTTCTTAGACAGACCTATGCCACAGTGATTTTAGTATTGTAAAGCTGGATGAATACCTATTTTTATTATTTATTTTTTTTATAAATTGCTATAATACAGTTTTCTGCACATTGTTAACTATTAAATGTAGCTTGAGAATTATAAATTAATTTCTACGATCTACAATTGCTTCTTTGTGTGAACGGTCGTAATCGCAGACGTCTAAACTTCATAACAAGAGACATTACTTGGAGATTGTGAAGATTCAAAGTAGGTCAGGATGAGGAAGGATTGTTACCCAGACTTTGGCGTAGTAATAGGAAATTGTGAAGCTGCGATGAAGTTTATGTTCAACTTTTATGGTAAAGCAGTTTGACGGAGCGGTGTTGAATTCGAGCTTGTAAAAAAACACAGGGCCCTCGCTGAGACTGTTATTCAATTTGCTACTTGCTGAAATATTCACTCGTAATTCGAAGTTTCCCTGTCGCTGTATATAGCAGTTCTCTACTTGCAAGCTGCTACTGTCCGCCGTATTCTAAAGTATGACAAATATCTCTATTCAAAGCTACATGAGCTGCTTATTCACAAAATGCTTAAGTCATTATTGTTTAAACCATTACACGTTATTCTGCTGTTGAAGCATTTTGTGAGCCTCTTGTTGTTCCCTATTACTTTAAATTTTTAAGAAAATTAAATTAAGTATGAAATGATATGTAATATTATAAAATTCCAGCTATCTGATTCTGAAATATTACATGAGTTGTAGTGGTAGTTTTTTTTTTTTTTTTTTAGTTAGCGACCACAAGATAACATAGATAGCCAAAAACTACTCTTGAATACCGATTGCCTAGTATTTAACTCAAAATCAATTACTTTTAGGGATTTAATAACTTGATTGGAAATTATCAACTGAAGTAGTGGTTGAAATTCCTATATACTCAAAGAGGGTCAAAAGTTGAATAAAATATTAGAGCTATGCTAAATATTTTTAGCCGATCGAAGAGTACTTAATGATTCACCTCACCCATATCTCATGACTTTTTTTTGAATAAATTTTAAATTTCACCGCTTATAATCAATCAGTGATTTAAGTTGTATAAAAATTGAATATGTTTCATACTAAGTTAATTTCAGAATGTAATGATTTTTTACTCGCTCTTTGACAAATCGGTTGTTTGACAAGTTTTGTAATAAGTTTTGATTTCGATCTACCAATTATAGTCAGATGATCTTTTGTTCTTTTAATCTGACTTTTCATACTAATCCGCTGAGTCCCAATTCCTACTTCCATTAATTTGGAATGAATGAATATATGTATATGAGTATTTTTTCGTTCAATGGATTAAATTAATTTTTATTAAAACCTACATATATTGTAGGAGTGATATTGTTTAATGTTTATTTTGCGTGAACAATCTTCACTTGGATGTTTAGGTTTTGTTTTGTAATCAAATTACCAAAATGAAAGTGGTCAGCAGCAAAAAAAAATGTCTATATATTTATTTCCATATGGCATATAATATTGCTAATAACACAGGACAGGCTTGAAAACTATTTTTTTTTTTTGTCTACATTTATACATTTATTTAAACATAAAATATAAACTTTCTATTAAATAAGCAACATTAACTTAATTAATTAATTGGGTAATTTTAATAACTGGCCTCTTGAACCTTGAAACCTGATTCATTTTGTTTTCCTAATGCCACCTTCCACAAAAAATATGCCACCTCGTTTTTCTTAATGATACACATGTATATATATTATTGATGACTTTATTTAAATATTGTGTATTTAACTACAAAATCAAATATGGAGATTGATGATTTATCGCCACAAAAATCTTTCTGTCTCTTTTAATTTTAAATGATGCTTACATCGGAAATAATATTATAACTTAAAATTTGCTAATTATATTGTTTAATTGAAATTGAAATTATTTGTACCTGTAATAGTATAAATTAAGCAAACAACTTATATATATATATATATATATATATATATATATATATATATATATTTTTTTTTTTTTTTTTTTTTTTTTTTTAAACATTTATGCAATCATGTTTTTCAAAATTATATCCTGTTGGTAAACAGTGAATAGGACCATTTGTATATAGGAAGTACTTCTCATTTAATTGTGCGAAGGGATTCTATTTTGTTAAAAGTCGATAGTTTTACCGCATCCTCCACCATCGAATTAATTATTAATAACATTTTATATGTGTGACCTAAGATGGTATGGATTAAATTATTTACTAAAATATACACTTTAATAATTGGGATATTTGATAATCAATAAAAGGGGACTTTGTGATTTGTTTAGAGTTCGTACGATTCTAGTCACTATTCAAAAACAAATCCCTATATCTCAAAGATTGATTAAATCGAATGAGCAATGTAAAAGGTCCGACCTCTTGCGGTTTGCAACTCGGATCCCTTTTACTGAACCGCCTTAAGATGACTAAGTTCTACTTCGTATCTATCTATCTCTCTCTCTCTCTCTCTCTATATATATATATATATATATATATATATATATATATATATATATATATATATATATATATATATAATGAATAACCGAGTCGTGTGCGTCATGCAAATAATTCAATAACAGCCATATTATTTCTTTCTTCAATGTAGTATTCAATGCATAACATTATATCCATAACTTAATATTGAAACCAGGAAAACCTGTTGCAGTGTTTCTGTGGCCTGGACTTTTGGCCTACCGAGACAGCCGTGGGCCACAGTTCCTCATGGAGCCTCCAGGAAAATCAGAGTTTTCCAACAGCTCTGGAGGAAGACTGGACTGTACCGCGACCGGCTCACCACCGCCACACGTTTCCTGGCTCACACTGGAAGGTATCACCGTCACCGAAATTCCAGGTCTGCGCCGTATCCTCTCCAACGGCACCCTCCTCATCCAGCCCTTTCCACCGGAGCTCTATCGTCAAGACGTCCACGCTGCCATCTATAGGTGCATGGCCAGCAATACTGTCGGAACCATCATCAGCAGGGACGTCCATCTCAGAGCAGGTTAGTGTTTATCGTCAGTTTATAATTATGAAATGAAAAAAAGAAAAATAATATGACATCATTTTCTTACAAAAAAAGACATTTCACAACTAAGACAAAGAACTTGTAATAATAGCTCTGAATTCTTATTTAACATGGGATAGGCTCGTTTCGATTCCAAGAAAAAATCAATATAAATTAAAACATGGAAATGCAAAAGGATTTCCAGCAAAATTGAAATTATATTATTTTTTCAAGGTCTATGTGTCTATTTACGAATTTATATTATATTACTTATGTAATCAATCTTTGTAAATGCCACATATCTAAAATATTATTCATGTTAGACTGATGATATGTCGGTGACACATGATACGGTGGCCATGACAAAAATAAAAAAAAAATTATTATGAGTAGACGCATGCAATTTGCATATTGGTATTTAGAATTGAAAATGGATCAACGAGCCGAAACGTTGTTATTAGATGTGATGTTATTAAGTTGACAATGTTTTAAAAATTGGTGTAAAATTAGCTGATAGTAAATGAACTTGAAAATAAATAGTATGTCAGAAGAAGAAGTTGAGAAATATTGTGAATCCATTTTTTTTTTTTTTTTTTTTTTTTTGTGTAAAATAAGCAAAACATATTTCTAGTTATATTAAACGAATTCTAATGGATAATAAATTATTAAAAGCCAAAGACTCTTTTGTAAAGTAGGCCTAGTGAATTTATGTCATGAAAAAAAACGTTCCAGATTCGTCATTGCCATCTAATTAAACCCTTAAATACGAGTTTGTTTTGAAATAAAAAAAATGTAAATTTATTGGCTTAATTATATGTGAGGATTTTTTATAGCGTTTACTAAAATATTCATAACCTTTCAAGATTTTTTTTTCTAACATCCGTTGGCAAACTAAATTTGAGTAATAATTAAATTAAACCATAAATAATTATACCATATCAATAACTTTTATATTTTACGCCTTTATAAAGAATAAGTAAAGAAAAACACTTTTTATTCTTTATCTCGAAGCATAATTTATTCGAGCGCATCTGGTTTGTGCCATTTTGTACATATTATAGGGCTCTAAATTCATAATATTTTTTGTGTCTATAAGTAAGCCTATGTCAATGTTATTACAACTTTTTTGATTTCCAAAAAAAAAATTGAAAGCTTAAAAAACCCTGAAATAGAAGCGGAAATTATAAACAAAAATTTGTATTTTTCGATTGTACGAAAATTCGTATTCAAAGGTTTTCTGAGGTGCGAAATACAAATCTCTTGCTTTGTTAAATAAATTCTATTAGTGATTAATATGAAAAGGAAATCATTTGTATTTTTCTTTATGATCATTTTTAACATTAAATCTACCTCATAACAGTTGTCTAATAAGATGGAAGAAACATTACTTTTGATAAAGTAAATATTTTTCTTATTCTGAAAATGAGCAGAGAGGGAAAAGATTAAACCGAAATTGGCCAAATTTAATCCGTTTCCGAGATTAGAACCCAGTGAAGTAATCGAGTGAAGGAAAATTACTCTTACCTTACTGTTTCCTTAAGGAATATGGTATTTAAACCTATAGCATGCCTAAATATTCACTCCGCATTTTGTCATTACTTACGTTTTAAATATACATTAATTTCTGTTAATCAAGAATTGTCTGAATGAACTCTTCTATCACTAATATTAATGTCCTTTATTGCGACAAAGTGTAACATGATTCAACAAGGAAAATGTTCAAAGAAAAAAAAATTGACATATCACATAATATGTCCGACTCCATTTCAATATACAATTTATGAATTGTGAACACAAACAATTAAACCGCTCTTAATAGGACCGAAGAGGAATAAGGCATTGTTTATTTTAACATTCATTTGCTTGGGAATCTGATTTTTTTCTTTTTAAGTTGAACCTCACTAATACGATTTTTTATTATACCTCTGTACCTTTAGTTTCAATTAGCAATTAATTTTAAATCTAATATATTAAATTTTTGTTTACCTTCGGCCTACTAAACTATCTAATAGGCCTTAAGTCAATTTGTCAAATATAATTATTTTTTTGGTTTAAATTTATTTTCACTTTGCTCAAAAAGATCATTTTAGTTTAGTTGGTGTTTTAAAATACAATTATAACATTTCTTCACAACACATATTACTCCGGAAACTAACAAAAAAATAATAAGAAAATCCTAAAAAATATTGCTAAAAAATATTAATGTTTTCGTTAGTAAATTATTAATTATATATCTAAGTAATACATTACTAAATCAGTAAGAAAGAGACATGTAAAAAAGTATTGTGGGGTTTTGTGAGTTTATTGAATTAAATCGAGGATGATAATAGGAGTAGATTGGTGTTATGGGAGGGGAGGGATCTATGGGTGGGTTTTTGGGGGGGTTGGGGTGTGAGGTTGGGAAGATATGTTGTATTGTTGTGTGTTTAGGTATGAAAGGGGTGAGGGGTGGATTGGTGGGGGGGATTGGTTGGTTGGGTGGGGTGGGATATGGGGTGAATTTGGGGGATGGGGTTTTTGTGGTTGGGTTAGGTGGGAGTGGTTGGGGTAGGGTTGGGTGTGGGGGGTTGTTGATTTGGGGGAGGGGGGGTATATGGTGTGGGGTGTTGATGGTGGGGAAATTGGGGAGGGGTTGTGGTTTTGGGGGTTTTGAGGGGGGTTTTTAAGTTTTGAGGTATGGATTGGATTTGGGATTAGATTGGATTTATTTGGTAGTTGTTAGTGTTTGTGGGGGGGGTGTTTGAAATGGAGTTATGGGTTTGTGGAGGTGGGAGTGTGGGTGTTGATGTGGGGGGGGTGTTTTTGATGTTATGTTTGGGGTTGTTGGGTAGTTTGGGGGATGAAGTTTTTAATTTAATGTAAAGGGTGGTAGTTGTAGAGGGAGGATTGGGGTATTGGGGGGGGAAGATTGGTGTAAGTGTGAGGGGGAATTGTTTGATTGGGGTGTGAAGAGTGTAGAGGTTGATTTGTGATGTGTGAGTTGAAAGGAAGTATGAATTATGGGAGGGGAAAAGATTTGGTGTTTGTGTTTGTGTTTGTGTGGGTGTGTGTGTGTGTTGTGTGTGTGTTTGTATTTTGTGTGTTGTGTGTGTGTGTTTGTTGGTTAGATTGTGGGTTTGGTTAGTTGGAGTAGGGGATTTGGTATATGTGGGTTGTTTTTGTAGGGAATGGGATGGGGGATTTAGTTTTGTTAGTGGATGATGGGGGGGAAGGAGTTTGTAGTGGGTATGAAATAGGGGGGTGAATAGGAAGAGAGGTTTATTATTTGAGTGGTTGTTGTATTGGGGGGGTATTTGGAGTAAGGTTTGAGGAAGGTGGGGGGGGGTGTGAATGGATGTGTTGAATAATGATAAGGGGGAAGAGGGGGGTTGATGTGTATGTGTGGTTAATGGTTGATGGGTGGGAATGGATTGTTGGGATGTGGAGGGGAATGTTGGGGGGTGGTAAGGGAGGATGTAGGAGGGGAATGTGGTGGAGAGGTTGGTTGTTAATAATAGGGGGGAGATGATTGTAGGTGGTTTATTGGGGGGGGTATTGATAGTGTTTAGGTTTGGGTATTGGTGGGGAGGGGGAATATGTTGGAGGGTAGTTAATTGTAGTGATTGGTTGGGATATGAGTTTAGGGGAATTAGAGGGTTATGAGGGGATGTTGATTTGTATTATTATTGATTATAGGGAATGGTAGGCCTTAGGGTGGAGCAACTGAAGCAATCGCCCCTAGGCGCCAATCTGGAAGGGGACCCATCGGGGCTCCGGCTGATCTACAGGATCCCTTGGTAGTCACTTGGTAGAAAAAAAATAAAATTAAAATAATTAATATAGCCTATGAATAACGCAACTGTGTTAGAGAAATGTTGAATGAATTAAATTCAAATATAACATAATATAACAGCTTAAGAAATAACTTTACTCTTTTTAAGGGGGGAGGAAGATGATGTGATTGCTCGGGGGGGCGCTGAATGTCTAAGGCCGGCACTGCCCGTTACTTTATATTTCGGTGCCCTCTCTTATAATGTTTTATTGGTGTGAAAGTTCACTAGAATTTAAATTCACAGAAAAATGCTTAACAAAAAATTCTTAACCCCATTAATATAGCCTCAAAAATCCATTACCTCGTAAAAATGTGCCCCGTTAACCATTTCGTTGACGCAACTTGCGCCCTGCAATCCTCTTCTGGGCGCTGCAGATTTGATTCTCATAAACATCAACAACGTCACCATGGAAAACCAGTCTTACTCTTTTTGCGGACTTGTACTGATCCTCCGGGAAAGAACAAACTACATATTAAGAATTTCACATCATTTAAGCCTGCCCTATATTTAAAACTGTTAGAAAAAAATTGGATAGGGCACAAAGCCTAAAACAAAACTTAAACGAAACAGCGGTGGAAAAAAGTTTGAATTTTCAAAAATAATAAAATTCTATAAAAGAGAATCTCTCTTCCTATAAAAGGTGTTGCATTGAGAACACGTGTGAATGAATGAAACAAATAAAAATTAATAAATAAGATATAAACAGTAATTTGGTTTTAATTACATAAGCCAGATACCAATCCTTCCATAATAAACTTCAGAACCATCCGAATCCTCTCGTCTCTAACCTTGCTTCCTCTTCTATTCCTGATAACCCTCCGAGTTGTCTGAAAACAAGATGGCCTCGAAATCTCTTATTGTAAATACATTTTGTTTTTAGTGCTACCAGTGGGTAGTTCCTCAATAAGTCATTTCATGTTATTATTTCTGTTATCAAATTTACTTAATGTATTTAATTTTTTAATACAGTTGTAAATATCATGAATAAATAAAAATAAAAAAATTACAGAAGAATAAACTGCTCGATAACTATTTTTAGATTTACATTTTGTAGAAATTAATTCCTTCATAAAACTGTTGAATAAACGATTCATTTTTAAATAAAAGATCTGTAAAACTTTCCCTACAAAGGTTGCTAGGGCAAAAGTTCTAATTTTGAAATAAAATATAATGATAATAAAAATTTCAGT